ATCAGATCCAATGCATTTAATACTATAAAACTTGAAGAGTCTGTAGATTATTTGTATAGGTTGCATAGTACAGTCATTACGTTCCTGTGTGTATTGCGAGAATGATGGATGGTTGGGCAGATATTGTTTTGCGGTACACAGAACCGTTGCCACTGACCCTGCATTACCGTGACAGTGGGGCTCGACAGCCTTAGTCAAACGGGGTGGCGTGTATAGTTGGGTTGCAGAGAGTTTGGGTTGCGGAGAATTTGTGAGATTGTGGTTTTTAACATCTACTCCCGTGTAATGGAAATCATTATGAACATCAGTTATGCTAATTATTTCCCATCTGCCTTTCCGCTAGTCCTGAGAAAAATGGCGTTCAACAGCTCCAGTTTGTATCCAGCCTCACACGGAGACTTCAGATGCCCCAACACCTGCGATGAGACGACTCAACCCCTCATTGCCGGCGATATGTTATTCCCTAAATATTATATAATTAACTAAATGTATTTTTCCATGTACTTTTCTGTAGTGTACTTTCGGTAAAGCTGCTTTGAAACAATGTATTGTGGAAAGCGCTATACAAATAAACTTGAATTGAATTGACTTGTTTGATTAGGGTTGGAGATGAACTGTGCTGGGCAGGCAATCGGCAGGAGCAGGATTGGGCACCTCTGCGTTAGAGTGCACATCGATCTGCACTTTGGATTCTGAACGGATACAGTAGACCACCCGGGTCTCTTTGGAACACTCATTTTAACATACTACGATCTGGGACGTACTAATTCTATTTTCAAATACTGTTTAGGACGGATAGTATGCGAATTGGGACGCAGCCAGAGTTTTTGTTCAGTGTTAACTTAAACACCACTGATTGGCAATCTTATTCAAGAAATCAACAGGTGATTGGCACTGCTCAACTATGCAAAAATACATCATAGAGAAACCTTTCAGATACACACTGGATGGTTTGCCAATGGTTCACCAATATGCAATTTTTTGACCACAGGAAGAACAGCACTCATATGAATATGAGATAGCTGATTGTTGGATCAATAAACAATTCAATTCAATGCTCTTATTATGGAGAAAATTGACCCTAGACCACAGTAATGAGTAGGGCTTGGTTTCTCAAAAGCATCATGATTTAAGTTGATCGTAGAGACCATTGGTGGCAATGGTTGGTAGGCTTATGATGGTTTGGGGAACGCAGCCCAACTTTACCCTCTAAAAGCAATCAGAAGCAGCAGCAAACAGACTAGGCCTTTAGCATTTCTACGCTAGTCTGAAGTCCGTGGCCAGGGAAAGACAAACCTTGCCCAGCCTTACACACTCTCCGCCTATGGTCGAGTCAAATTATATAAGGCGTCTACCCAGGCTAAAGTCCATTAAAGGAGTAGTTCACTTTTTTTTTTAAAAAAACTTTTGCTGATAATTTACTCACCCCCACGTCATCCAAGATGTCCATTTCTTTTTTTTTTTTTCATTCGAAAAGAAATTAAGGTTTTTGATGAAAAAATTCCAGGAGTTTTCTCCATATAATGGACTTAATCGTTTCAGTGCAGCTTCAAAGGGTTTTAAACGACACCAGACAATGAATAAGGGTCTTATCAAGCGAAACGATCGGTCATTTCAAAAATAAATAAAAAGTTTAAGTTTTATAAGCACAAATGCTCGCCTTGCTCTATTCTGTGATGGACGTTCGTGAATCTCCTGTTCAAACTCGTTCAGGGTCCTAGATAAGACCCTTATTCGTTGTCTGGTGTTGTTTAAAGCTCTTTGAAGCAGCACTGAAACTATTATTTGGAGCTTGAACCGTTTGAGAACGTCCTCGTCTCAGTTCTCGCGCATGCGCCCATAAGGAAGTAATGGAATAGTCGAATAAAGACGTTATTTATGTTTTTTTCGCACAAAAAGTAGTCTCGTCGCTTGATAAACTTATAATTGAGCCGCTGTAGGCACATGGAACATTTAAACATTTTCTTTAATGACTTTATGGGCTGTAAAGAGCCAGTCCCTTAGGAAGCCAATGGAAGAGTGATCCAGCTCTCAGATTAAATCAAAAATATCTTTATTTGTGTTCCGAAGATGAACAAAGGTCTTACGGGGTTGGAACAGCATAGGGGTGAGTAATTAATGACTTAATTTTCATTTTTGGGTGAACTAACCCTTTAAGACCACACTCTAAACAATGCTGCTGTTTGAACCCACATTTGGGTAAAATGTGGACAAACCCAAATGTTTCCCTTTCAACTGTAAATTGCATTTTTAACCCAACATTTGGGTTTTTCCATATTTGAGCCAAATTTGGGTTGAAACAACCCAGCATTTTTTAGAGTGCTGTTGCGGGGTCTTCACACGTAGCGGCAGGAAGCAAAGGTTTTGCGGTTGTGATGCCAGGATGGTGTTGTTTCCTTTTAAGTTTGAAGTCGTAAAATGGTACCCATTAAAAAGCATCATAAAACACTATAGGTTGTAGTTCAGAGAAGAAACCTCAGGCAGTGGGATGTTAGTGTGCTTCTGTTCAAGTACTTGGGTCTTTCATCAAGGGTCATTTTACAGCACAATGTTGCGGAAATGTTGTGACGGGAGAAGCCACTTGGATAAATAAAGAATCACCTTGAGCACATTTTGTGCTGCTGGCATAATGATACCTCAGATCATGTGCCTTATAGCTAAGAGGCATCAGGTTACTTTTCCAAGCGACCAGACTAGAAATTTTGCTAGGTGGATAAAATGAGTAAACCCAGAACACCCTAGCAACTGTATAGCATAATTCATTGCTAATTTTGCCTAAATATGTCTGAAGACAAAAGATAATAAAGCAATGTACACTCTAAAAAATGCTGGGTTGATTTAACCCAATTTTGGGTAAAATATGGACAATGGGTTACATTTTTAAATTACATTTTTTAACCCAATGGCTGGGTATGTCCATATTTTACCCAAAATTGGGTTAAAACAACCCAGCATTTTTTAGAGTGTATCTTGTGTACTGGATAAGATATCTCATTGGGATCTCCATTTGTCAGCATCTTGTTTCATTTCAACAGATTGAACTCCTCAGTATGTATGGAACAAATGCCAAGTTTGATTTTGTGACCGAACTGCCCTGATTGCACATGGCTGAACCTCTTGCAATGTCAGCAAAACCTCAGCTCAAGAACAACAGGCACATTGTTAGAATAAAGACATTCAGCATCCAGAACGAACATCCGTTCCCAAGTGTGTAAGGTAAAACCTCACCAGTTAAGAGAAGGAATGTGTGAATGGAGAATTACAAGAACTGAAAGGGCAAATTGGAAAGAAAACTTTAATGAGATGTCATTGAACATTTATTGGTTCTCATTAACAGCAATTACATTAAATTAAGAATCTTGCTTGTGACACAAATGATTGATATTTAATTGTTTCAGTTCCAAATACTGGACTGAACACATCTCAATTAAGTTTCCTGAGTTACAAATGAGCAACCTTTGGAAAATAACAGGGATGTGAAATGGCAGGTTCACAGGAAATGATGTCATATGAAGTGGGTTCTGGAAGTGGCTTTCCAGAGGATTTGAAAGGGAATATGATGAGGGAATGAGAGCGCAGGAGATCCGAGCGCCTGCCCAATGGTTAATGAATGAGGGAGGGAGTGAATGAGAGAATGGCTCGGGTGTTCTCTGGCTGTGATTCCCAAATGAAGCATGAAGAACACAGAATCACACTGAAAAGGTTTAGAAAGGAGAGGGATGAGGGAATGGGGAGGGTGTTGCATCACAGCGGACAAATTAACAGTCTGGGAGCGGAAGAGAAATGAGGAAAAGCAGTGATGCGTCCTCGTGTCTGAAATGTCAACCTGTCTTAGTGGAAGTAGGTTGTATTTACACTGTAAAACACAATGTTTCACAATATCGCTATGGTGAAAAATTATAATGCGTCACATCCTATAGGATGCTTTTACTTTCTTGGCTTTGTGAGTCATTTTAAAGAATTTTCCCCTAACACCAACAGTACTGAAAATAAATGAATTCTGGATTGTGTGAGTGTGTTACACCAGCACAGCCTTATTCAGCATGACTAAACATGCACAACATCTACAGTGCTTCACCAGTCTTCTGCAAAACTGGCTCTTGCAGAGCAAGCCATTTCAACCACACTATTTAGCTGGAGGCATTTCACAGATTTTGTTTCCTTGTCAAACAGCAAGAACACTTTTACTTCATTATAATAATGATGAAAATCACACACAACTTTAAGCACTGAATCAATATGCTACACAAATATATAAACTAAATAAAGTTTATTCAAAGTAGCCATTTAAAAATTAGGCAGATCTAACAAAAAAAATGGCACTATGCAAAATTGTTTGTATCACATGGTTCTTTGAGATACTACCATATAAAAAACAGTGGTAGCCTACTTTTTGGTGATTTTAGTGGATATGACATTTATTGCCTTCAAATTCAAAGAGAAGTCCTTTCAGAATAACCACAGGTTTTAACTAACAACTAACGTGACAACCAGATGGTTTCTGAATATCTGTTTGAAAGTATGGCTAATTACTTGTGTGCGCGTGTTTTCAAAAGGGACATTTTTCCTTGCAGAGTTGCAAGGAAAACATTTTAACAATATCTTAGTGTATGTTAAGTATTAAAGTGTTTAAAAGTATTTATAAGTAATTTTCACATTCGCCAAGCGCGCTTGTTTACAAAATACGTGCACGTGTCACGCGATGACGCCGGCCAAACTATAAGATAGTACGAAATAATTTCATATAAAATCATTTCACTCACTCAACAGACGATGTTTGAACGTTAAAGTAACATTAAACTTATTGCTAAACAAACCAAATGTTGAATTATAAACAGGACAACGATGAATGAGTGAATGAATTTCCACTGATAAATTTGGCAACTTCTTCCGACGAACAAAATTCTTTTTCTCTGAAAAACTACGACGTTTTTCTACATGTGTACAAAACCGCTGCATTTACACATATTTTGATGAAGTTTTAAGAAACTGGCTCTTACCTGTGTGTGGAATCTGGGTCGCCCGTCCTCCAAAAGTTTCTCTATTCCCCTCAGACTGCACTAAATCCCTCCCGGACCCCAGAGCCAGAGTTTAGTCCCTCACAAACACGCCCTCGAACGCTCCCCCTCTTCAGTCAGCCTGCCTCGGGCCAAAACCTCCTCAAACTTCTTCCAAGTTTTCACAAAACTTCCTCATCCAATTATGTGCGTTCATTTGGCTTTAACATATTTTTTTGCAACATCTTCCAGGAGGCCTATCAGAATCGGGAAAGGTATTGTGGTAGTTTCCATACTGATATTATATTGTTAACTTTAATTCACACAAATCAAAACTATTTTACTTTTAAATGATTGGTTTTCATTGGTTTATCAGTATTTGTGCATGTTATGTTTGAATGCACACAAAAATGTCACATTCTATCATTATTTACTCCCTCATGTCAATCCAAACCTGTAACTTTCATCTTCGGAACACAAATGAAGATCTTTTTTTGTTGTTGTTGTTGTTGTTGTTGTTTTTTATGAAATCTGACAGATTTCTGTCTCTCCATTGACAGCTGCGCAACTTTGCCTCTTCAATAAGTTCATAAATAGACCGTAAAACGAATTGGAGTGGTTTAGTTCAAAATGTCTGAAGAGAAACGATATGAACATATTTAATGTAGGCTAATCTTTTAATCACATAGCCTATAGTTTATTTTGTATGTTTATATAATCAGTTTTACGATGTCTTAATGAACTTTTTGAAGCGTCAAAGTGTGCGTGTCAATGGAGAGACAGAAAGCTCTCAGATTTAATTAAAAAGATCTTCATTTGTTTTCCGAAAATAAACTTAAGTCTTACGGGTTTTTTACAACATGAGGGTGAGTAATTAATAACAGAATTTCATTTTTGTGTGAACTATCCTTTTAAAGCAGCAGCCATTTTTACTGAAAATGACACTTGGCCTGGGGACCCTCTGTATGCCCACCTTATTTACCAAACCTGATTCAGATCATCTACTTAGGCTATTTTCCATAACTGAAATGATCAGTTCAGAGAATAAAATGTGCAATGCTGGTCCCTGATACCAGGACTAAATACCATAATGAAATTGTGATCTTTTTCTTTCTTTTATTTTGCAGTGCTTTTACAGTTCAAACTGGCATTTTAAAACTGGGCGAGTATGGAGATTAATAATGTATTTTCAAATATCCGGTAGAACCCAGTTTAATACTGGAATAATGTTCAGCTTTCGGGCAGTTAAAGGAAATCTCAGAGGAACTAGAAGTTTTCTGTTGGACAATGTAGGCTAACGAATCAAAATGTAACCTGTGGCGAAATCTGCATGGGGAAACACTTCGCCTTCATGCAAAATTTGCGATTGTGTGGATTCATATTGAAATGAATGGATTTTAATCGGCAAAAATGTGCAGAAAAATGTTAAATGTAAACATGTTGTAAAAGATGGAATCCTTAAAAAAAATCTGTAGCATTCTTTAAAATTGTTTTCACGCGGGATCATGTACAATTGCATTTTTCGGAGACATATTTCAAGTAAATCATTGATTATGAAGTCCTGGAGCTTTGTAGTGTTGTCTGCATTGGTTTTCAACTCAGAATAAATTAAGTAAATAACCAACTGCAAAGTTAATGCACAATTAACACCAGAATCCAATTATTATTATTATTTTCAATTTACATCATCCATATAGCCATGGTACAAATCAAAAATCTATATCATAGACAGAATCTTCCAATGATGCTTCTTCAATGTGGGTTTCATCCAGGAGAGCTGGTCCTCCGTGATCAGAGACAGAGCGAACCTGTCAAAAAAAGGTTACATTTATTTGAACTTGACAGATGCATCATTTGAAAGAGCTGTTTGTTATATTAATTATCAGCTTAAAGGGATACTTCACCTCTGGAAAGATGAATGTGTATTTATAATACACATTCATTAATGTGTAGATGGGTCATTTATGTAGAAGAAATGTGAAATAATTTTTGAATTTAGAGCTTTCTAGACTGAGAAAAGCCAGAAAATGTATTTTTGGCATATATGTGGATGAAAGACAACAACTCCCAGAATGCACTTGCTTCGCTGCCCTAGGAGGTCACGCCTACTGGTAACAGAGCGCAGTAGTTAAACAACAAGTCTAGGCTACTAGTGAGTCTCTGTGATGAGTCTGCCTGTAAATGTGTTTCGAGATCGCCCAAAATGTCCGGGATTCGGTTTTGCGTTCTTCGCCATTCGTCATGTTTACTGTGGCGAGTGGGGCGAGTGAGGGCCGCGGGAGAATGGCGCGAGACCGGTGGCGTGATTACCGATGAGCGACACCTGTGAGACGCACCGGTCTCGTATCTCTCACGGAGGAGCGGGAATTTTCTTAGCAATGTTAAAACACACATCAACCGATCACTTGTTTAGCGCTCATGTAAACACTACAGTCAGATTCACCAATCAGAATGAATTCAGTTAGAATGAAACAAAAGGTGGGCATGTAAACAATGAATGCAGAAAGCAAAACCTGAATAAAAACATGGTAACCCCTACTACTCAGCTTTCTCCACAGAACAAGAGCCTGCTAGCTTAGCTTCCAAAAAAAGATGGCTGACACTGTGTTCATTCTGTGAGTGAGATCTCCCTCTATGGGTGGGTTGAGGACATGCGGGACAGACCCGACTACTGACTAGTCTTTAGCTTCTGGACAACAAAATCCTCAGATAATGCAAAATTACAATTTTTTTGGAAAAATTAAAGGGTAACTAAACCCCTGGTCAGAGCCTGACTCCACCCACTGGCAATATTTGAAAATGCTGAAAAAGTGGGCAGACCCCAGCAGAGACAGAGGGGACGAAATAGATGCTAAAACACTCTATCCTGATTGTTTTTAATACTCTCAATCCCAATTCCTGACTCCCTACAGTGTTTTTGACGACTCAAGAAAGTTTTTTATACTGCCAAGGGCGTAGCTCGCGTGGTGAGCTGAAACCTGGGTACGTCACAAAGTGCGGAACATCCAATAGGAAAATTCAACTGCAGTAGCCACGTTTCAACCTGAAGAGGGCAGCACTAAGACGTTTTTACACCATATATTGTAGAAATAGAACACTTTATAAACAAATGTCAAAAAAGTTACTCGAATCAATGACTGGTATTAATAAAGATCCATTCTTACAGATCATTAACTAAAAAAAGTTGGTTAAGTGTTTAGTTACTCTTTAAGGATTTTTCCAGACAAAAAAAAAAAAATCATAAATCTCTCGTCTCAGGGGGATATGAGGGTGGAAAGCACGGTAATTTGAAAATACTACAGGTTTTCTACTAATACAAAGCTTAATGCTAAATCCTGAAGTATCCCTTTAAGGAAAGAGGTTGAGTTGGGCCAGTGCTCTCGACTGTATGTATTCTCTGATGCTGCTCACGTTTGGTATTACTGGGGGAGTCAATGTGCCCTTGCGAAGTCCTTCCCAGTCGAAGCCTTCAAACCACCTGAGAAACACAACACAAGTTAATCAGCCGGCACTTAAAAACAGTCGCTTCCTCTACTTTCCCTTGCTCTTTTCTTTTCCACTCTCATCTAATCTCATGAATCCTTCCCCTTCTCACCCCACACCGATCCCTTCTTTCATATATATATTTGATGAAGAGCACAAACGAGCAGGACTCACATGTGTTTGCAGATGTCCTTGACCCCGTTCCTCTGTCCCAGTCTCTCTAAGGGGTTCAGCCTGGAAATGGGGTGACAGATGATATCAGACTCAGACACACAAACCCCAAAGAGTATGTAGTGCACTGCTATTCTATCCATCCATCTATCCATCTATCCATCCATCCATATATCTATCTATCCAGCTGTCTATCTATCTATCTATCTATCTATCTATCTATCTATCTATCTATCTATCTATCTATCTATCTATCTATCTATCTATCTATCTATCTATCTATCTATCTATCTATCTATCTATCTATTGACTGTCTGTCTGATTTTCTATCTATCTATCTATCTATCTATCTATCTATCTATCTATCTATCTATCTATCTATCTATCTATCTATCTATCTATCTATCTATCTATCTATCTATCTATCTATCTATCTATTGACTGTCTGTCTGATTTTCTATCTATCTATCTATCTATCTATCTATCTATCTATCTATCTATCTATCTATCTATCTATCTATCTATCTATCTATCTATCTATCTATCTATCTATCTATCTATCTATCTATCTATCTATCTATCTTGTCCTTCTGTCTGTCTGTCTATCTATCTATCTATCTATCTATCTATCTATCTATCTATCTATCTATCTATCTATCTATTGACTGTCTGTCAGATTTTCTATCTATCTATCTATCTATCTATCTATCTATCTATCTATCTATCTATCTATCTATCTATCTATCTATCTATCTATCTATCTATCTATCTATCTATCTATCTATCTATCTATCTATCTATCTATCTATCTATCTATTGACTGTCTGTCTGATTTTCTATCTATCTATCTATCTATCTATCTATCTATCTATCTATCTATCTATCTATCTATCTATCTATCTATCTATCTATCTATCTATCTGTCTGTCTGTCTGTCTGTCTGTCTGTCTGTCTGTCTGTCTGTCTGTCTGTCTGTCTATTTGTTTACCTACATAGTGACATATGTTTCATTTGGATTACCAAGCCTTTTCTCAATGTATTTCTCACAGGTAATAGAAACTGTGAGTAAAATTCTCCTTTACCTGCAGAGGCTCTTGATGAGATGTGCTGCAGTCCTGCTGATGGTTTTGGGGAACTCTAGCTCATCTGTTCCCTTCAGTGCTGCCGTATAAACCTTCAGCGGCTCTGAGCCAGAGAACAGGGGTCTGGGAAGGTGGGAACAGTTGTGATATTCTCCTTCATCATTTAAAACATGTTATAGAAACATGAACTATGCTGTTCAAAACCCATAAGACTTCATCTTCTTACAGTTTTTCTCAATTGCTTTGGCTCAGTTCTCAAATGTTTTTTTTATTTCCCAAAACATTAAGTTCAGATCTCTGAACAATTCGCTTCTTTTTCACATCAGATTGGAATTTCTTATTGATTTGAGCAAATTGCAAATGCGTTGGCACATGTGTGCAAAGAGTACATACAACTGTCTGCAATTTGGACAACAAAGAATTGCATATGGCTTGTTGATCAAAACTGATGACTCGATTCTCACTTACACTGTCAAACACTTCAGAACTTCTCAGACATTTTTTATTGTGTAAGCCATTACATTCAAAACGATCTATTCAATTATCATAATTAGTATGCATGTATATTCTAAAATATATCTGACATTGACATTGTTTGTAATGTTTGCTAAATTGGCACATGACTTCTAATTGCATTTGCAATCTAATTGCAAATTACCTCTAATATGAATCAATCAACCATTTAACCATTTAACCAATCAACTTTGGGAGTATATATATATATATATATATAGAATGGAGGACATTCACAACCCTGAACTGCACCAACATGCTCATGGAAGAGCAATTGGAAGGCGTGTAAAAATACGTGTTGGTGGTAGAGGAAGAAATAATCGAGGAAGAGGTGGAAATAGAAGAGTCAGAGTCTCTGATGAAATCAGAGCCACACTTGTGGATCATGTCATAAATCTGACCATTGCAGGGGATGGGTGCGGCATTCAAGGAGATTTTTTCCACGTTGTGTGGCAATGGTAACATCAGATGTGAGGTTGATGAAAATCTTTGGCCTGACCAACGTGAGCGACAAGATGTCCACCAAGAATAATTTGTTTATTTTTCTTTTTTTTCCATGAATGTTATTTGTTGTTTGTGTATTTGTGGTAATACACAAATATGAGATGTAATGTGAAATCTTGTTATTCTTGTCAGTTACTTTACATGTACAGTAAATACACTTGTATTGTGTATATACACATGAAGTACAAAAATAAACACTGTAAAAATACAAATGTTCATAGAATTTTTTTTTCTACATACTATTGACTTTTCTCAACAAATATGAGATTTGTTTACAGACAGTAAACCCTTAATTTGATTTATGGTGAAAAAATAACTAAACATTTTGACCAGTGTGGCTCACACAATGACAAAAATACTTTAGATTTTGGTGGCCTTGGCCAAATTATTGACAAAATAACTAGGTTTTGAAGCATGAATTAAATGTTTTGGGTGAGTAACTACATTTTGCAGACATGCTATAAAGTTTTGAAGTTCCTGCAAACAGTTGTGACATTTGCACTCACAGTTTAGAGAATGTTAAGACTGTTTCGAAAAATGTGCCAAAGCAATTGAGAAAAACTGTAACATGAATAAAAATACTTTTTAAGATTTTCTTATAATTTTGGCCCGTCCACTGAAAGTCCACTCATCCCAAATGTTCATACTTCGAAATGAACAAAAAGATATCGTTGTCCAAAAAAGTTGTCCATATGAATTTAGTGGTTAATCCAAGTATCCTGAAGAGACATTTGCTTTATGCAAGACTCTTGAATAAAGTTAGTTTTTGATTGTTTCACTTCAGTTGCAGAGATCATTAGTTATTACTGTAACTAATGTGTTCTGGCCGTTAATTAGCACGATAACAGTGTTTGGTCGCTCGAGAACACAAACTTTGAACTACGTTCCCTTTTTTTCAAAACATTTTAAAACTTGCATTAAACATGCATTAAGCAAATTATGTGTTTAGTCTATAGGTATGACCGTTTACTGTAAATTATGCACAGGCAAATTTCTTTACAAATTGACATCTCTAAATGACTGCCCTGCATAATACAGAATTTCTAGTCGTTTCCGCAGATCCATGTGAACTGAAATAATTTTGCAATGTTAGTTGGTCTTGATAGACTAGATCTGTATAAGTATGTAAATATGAACTTGCTATTGCCAATAGATTCACAGACATGCTGCTGTGAGCATGTAAGATATGCTGCTGCATAAATAGGATATTGATAGCAAATCTAGACAGGTGGTGCTGGGGAGGAGGAGGGGTTCAGAGGAACTCCAATTACTGACTTGGAGCGAACATGGAACCAGACTATTTCAATGTTGAGCAAGCAATCTCATTGGCTTATATATTAGCCAACTAAAATCAAATGTAACACAATGAATGATTGAATGTAGTAATAAAAGAAAAACTCACCTGCTACTGAGCAGTTCATACAGCAACATCCCTAAAGCCCAGAGATCTGCAGACAGGCCGTGACCTTGATGCAGAATGACCTCTGGAGGCTGATAACCCACAGACCCACAGAATGACCAGGCCCTGTGCAAAGAGGCCAGCTTCTTAGCACAACCAAACCCTGTCTGATACAGTAGATAGAGAGAAACACAACTAAGTGTAAACCTCCTATTGTTAAAATATGAATCATCACAATCAAGTGGTTAGAGGCTGCCATCTGGTTAAATTTGTATGTATTCAGCACCAGTTTAGCATATCCACGTTGGTCCAGTAGCACATTTTCAGGTTTCAGGTCTCTGTGAACAATGCCTTTGCCGTGTAATACACTGAGAGCTTCCAGAACACATGCTGCGTAGAAGCGGACGGCATCTTCTTCCAGTGACCCCCTGAAACATAAAATCACATATTCAGTCACGGTCAGTTTAGACAAAGTCCCTTTCAACCATCAATGATATCTGACAACAGCTTTATCATACATGAGGTTTCTGATGCTCAAATAGCATTACAAAGCGTATTTTTCAGGATGGACCCGTCAATGTCCTAACTGCTTCTTTAGCAACCTTTGCGAACAGTTCACATCAAAATGAACGAATCTTTTTTCGAGTCATTTCCTTCATTTTGTTCGTTGAATGAACGGAATGACTCGAAAAAAGATTATTTTATTTTGATAAACGATTTCGAACAGGAGAGTCACAAACGTGCATCACAGAACAGAGCAAGGTGAGCATTTGTGCTTTTAGAACTTAAACTTTTTTATTTATTTTTGAAATGACCGATAGTTTCGCTTGATAAGACCCTTATTCATCGTCTGGTGTCGTTTAAAGCCCTTTGAAGCTGCACTGAAACTCTCATTTGGACCTTGAACTGTTTGGTTCCCACTGAAGTCCATTATATGGAGAAAATCCTGGAATGTTTTCAACAAAAACCTTATTTTCTTTTCAACATCTTTTTTTTTTTTATGTGAACTACTCTATATTTTTCTTATTTTGAAGACTATTTAAAAAATCTAAAGAACCTTTTTAGCATTATAAAGATCCTTTTGTGGAATGGAAAGGTTCCATGGATGTTAAAGGTTCTTCAAGGTAGGTAGGTTGGTAGGTAGGTAGGTAGGTAGGTAGGTAGGTAGGTAGGTAGGTAGGTAGGTAGGTAGGTAGATAGATAGATAGATAGATAGATAGATAGATAGATAGATAGATAGATAGATAGATAGATAGATAGATAGATAGATAGATAGATAGATAGATAGATAGATAGATAGATAGATAGATAGATAGATAGATAGATAGATAGATAGATAGATAGATAGATAGATAGATAGATAACAACCCAACAGAGGACAAGCAGTTTGGAGAATGAATGTATGGATCATTGTCTGCACCTGTCTCTCAGTAAAATCCACAGATCTCCCCCTTCACAAGCCTCCATCAGCATATACAGGAACCGAGGATCTTTAAAGGTACAATACAACCTGAGAAAAAAAACCCCATAATAATCAAGCTTTTGAATCTCACATCAACAGCCAACAAAACATTGTTTTTCACATTGTTTTGATGTACAATTTAATTTCATTTGCAATCAACTGACATGCTGATATGAAGAGAACATATAAAGTTCAAAAGCTTGGGCTTAGAAAGGCTTTTTTATTTATTTATTTTTTATATATAGGATACATTCAAATGATCAATGGTGACAGTCTTTTACATTGTTTATACAATATATATATATATATATATATATAATTTAATAATAGCTGCTTTTGAACTTTCTGTTCATTAAAGAATTCTGAAAAAAAGTGTCACAGTTTCCACAAAAGTTTTCAACATTGATAATAATAAACAATGTTTTTTGAGCAGCAAATCAGCATATTAGAATGATTTCTGAAGAACACTGAAGACTGGAGTAATGAATAATGATGCTGAAAATTCAGCTTTGATCACAGGAATAAACTACATTTTTAAATATTTAACAATAGAAAACAGTTATTTTAAATTGTAATAATATTTCTCAATATTACTGCTTTTACTGTAGTTTTTGAATGAATGATTGACTGAATGAATGAATAAATGCTTGACTGAATGAATGAATAAATGACTGACTGACTGACTGGATGAATGACTGACCGAATTAATGAATAAATGCTTGACTGAATGAATGACTGAATGAATAAATGCTTGACTGAATGGATGACTGACTGACTAACTGACTGACTGAATGAATGAAAGACTGACTGAATGAATGAATGACTGAATAAATGACTGACTGACTGACCGAATGAATAAATAAATGCATGACTGAATGACTGGATGAATAAATGACTGAATGAATGAATGAATGAATGACTAACCGAATGAATGAAAAAATGCTTGACTGAATGAATGAATGACTGACCGAATGAATGAAGGAATGCTTGACTGAATGAATGACTGAATTAATAAATGACTGACCGAATGACTGACCGAATGATTAAATAAATTCTTGACTGAATGAATGACTGAATGAATAAATGACTGACTGAATGAATGAATGACTGACTGACCGAATGAATGAATAAATGCTTGACTGAATGAATGAATGACTGACTGAATGAATGAATGAAAAATTGCTTGACTGATTGATTGAATGAATGACTGAATGACTGACCGAATGAATGAATAATAGCTTGACTGAATGAATGAATAATAGCTTGACTGAATGAATGAATAATAGCTTGACTGAATGAATGAATAATAGCTTGACTGAATGAATGAATGATCGAATGAATGAATAAATGCTTGACTGAATGAATGCCCGAATGAATAAATGACTGACTGACTGACCTAATGAATGAATAAATGCTTGACTGACTGAATGAATAAATGACTGACTGACTGAATGAATGACTGAATACTTGACTGACCGACTGAATGAATAAATGACTGACTGACTGACTGTATGAATGAATGAATGAATAAATGACTGACTGACTGACTGTATGAATGAATGAATGAATGAATGAATGAATAAATGACTGACTGACTGACTGTATGAATGAATGAATAAATGACTGACTGACTGACTGTATGAATGAATGAATGAATGAATAAATGACTGACTGACTGACTGACTGACTGTATGAATGAATGAATGAATGAATGAATGAATGAATGAATAAATGACTGACTGACTGACTGACTGTATGAATAAATGAATGAATAAATGACTGACTGACTGTATGAATGAATGAATGAATGAATGAATGAATGAATGAATGAATGAATGAATGAATGAATGAATGAATGAATGAATGAATGAATGAATAAATGACTGACTGACTGACTGTATGAATGAATGAATGAAGCCTTGGCAACCGTATAAGAGACTTTTCAAAAACATTTCAAATGGTACTGCCCCCAATCTTTTGAACAGTAATGTATCCACCATTAAAATGGGTAAAGAGTCCAATAAGGAATACGACTGCATAAACAATTATAATTAGATGCAAAAAATATATATTTATATATATTTCCTGCTGTCACCAGAGAACAGTACACATCATTCCACAAACAACCTTTAATCCTCTAGTTCTTCGGGATCTACAGTGTGCTTTACAAATCCGATTAACCTTTTATGAAACATCAACGACAAATAAGACGTTTCTCTGCTGAAAAACTGAAGACCCTAGTGTATGTTCTGACCTTACTATAAATGGACTTTGGAGATCCATCAGGATGTGTTTCTCCGAGAGCATCCTCTCTCTTTGGCCTGGCCTCTGTATCGCCTGCTTTCGTATGGACTTTAATGCAAACTTACAGCTGGGGTCACTCTTTAAAAGCACCTTGAGACAAAAAAAAAACAGGGTTTATAATTCATATCAATTATAAATAATCAAATTTAAACTGCAGAACTGGTTTATGATACTCACGAGCTGAGTGTGACTGTACTGTCCTTCCCCCAGATTACACAGCACTTGAAAACTGCTAAGAGACATTTCCCCAAACGCAGTCCCATCTTCCTCTGCCCTGTTTATTATATAGAGATCAAAAATGAATCATCACAAGTAATTCATGTAAAAGTCATATCGACATGACTTACCTCGATCTGGCCTTGTTGCTAGGATTGTCTCTAGCATCGTCTAAGCCTCCAGTTACGTTTTTGAAAAACCTAGATGGTGGAATATAGGCAAGGTCAACTCTACAGCATTTGTTTGAGTTAGTTACTATGTTTTTTTTAGCCCACTATGCTGTTTCCATAGCATGAATGTCAGTTTATGGCTCACACTTACTCTTTGTCCATGACCAGACATGTCACATCGCCTGAGGCAAGAACACTCATCGACCTCATGTCGTCTCTAAAGAGCAAAGGAACAGGTCTGAGATGTTAATGTTACATGATGCCTTCCGACTTGAATTTTAATGTTTCAGTAAAGCCACAAAACATTTAACATACACCTTTGCTTTTTTCATAGTGTTTCACACCTTAACTAGTTTAGTTGGACCAATTTCCCCAACCATTTATTCGGTTCTTCAAAAAAAAGACAACATTTTCACGCACGTTCCAATTTTCTTGATGTTTTCTGCAAAACTCTACACCAAAAATGCCCTCATTTTGCACAGGATTAACATGTTCTCATTCAGAAAACATTATATAATTCACACTGCAAACTCAAATTTCACCTATTTATCCATGTGTAAACATGAAATAGGAAAAATAATGACACCAATCAGAATCACGGGGGATTATGTGCTTTGGAAAATTGCTTAATTTACTCGTATTACTGTAAGCACCTGTAACAAGGACACAGTAAAATAAAGTGTTACTGCTTATTGTTGAATTTCGCTGTATCTGCTGCAGCCCTCTATTTATGCTGTATGTAACAGACATTCCTGTGTGGCCCGACCCAGACCTGAGACGAGATGATGAGAACATTGGTGCTGTGGTTGAGTAACCTGTACATTCGCTGTGTTTGGAAATAAAGCTTTTGAAAATGTAAGTATTTTACTGTGCGTGGACTCTTCCCAACATGTTTTGTCAGTTTGACATTTCAAAGGTCAGGTTTTTGTTCAAAACAGCATCACTTATGTAAGATTATTTATTACAGGACTGTTTTGCCTTCCTTTAGTCAGGGTTGCCCCTGAAAGAGTTATCAGTCAGAGCTGTGATTTCACAAAGTTACACATGATATATCTGAAAATATACGCGTCTGGTAGCAGTGTTTTGAATGAATCCCTCCAGTGTGCAACAAACCAACATGACATCATGACTTTTGTGTAAACATACATGCCACTTTTAAGTCAAGCGGCGTGTTATCTATGGGTGATTCTTTAACTATGGTACTTTTCTTGTACCTGGATAAAAACAATAAAATCTAAAAAAAAAAAAAAAAAATTCTTTTTTGTTTTTGTCAGACTTACTTCCCCCTCAGGGGAACTTATACAAAATTTATCATGGCTCGATCATTCTTTTTATTATATAATATGAGGCCTTTTATGCATGATTTTTACTGTTTTCCCCCTGTCCCTAAGCCAGACTTTGTACCTTCAACCTCGCTTAATTCTAAATTAAATATTTAAATAATGTAGCTTTTAAGTACAAATTATAAAATAATGTCTATTTCAATTATACATATTATATAATGCGATATTTATTCACATTTTCTTAATTTTTCATAAGTAGAACCCTTGTCCCTTGTTCACTGTCATTTCCACCACACTGTACAAAATAGAATCCTGGGATCATTGTTTTAGGTTTGAATACTTAGTAACCATAGCAATAGAAACTCCACAGCGAACACATGGCTGGGTGAAAGGGTGACCTCTTTAGGGGGTAATGAAAAGAAGAAAAATCAAGATAAATATGACTAAAACTGAGAATATGTTTATTTGCCGTCATTTCCAAACGGCTCATATTTCACATGGACGTAAAAATAACTGGATAAAATTAATTGAATAATGTGTAATTTGTGTATATTTAATGCTAACTGTAAAACTAATATTAACAGGCAAACATAGCATGATATTTTAGAGGAAAAAGGGGAAAATGTCATTTCCACCACGGTGTTCATTGTGGTGGTAAAGACAGGTTGTGGTGGAAATGACATTGTTCGTGCTAAACAGCTAATTATTTTGGGCTATAATACTAAAATATTAATGTAAAAACAAAAAAAACTTACAATTAATTAAGTTAAGGTAGTAAGAAATACTTTATTATTTATTATTGCTACAATATTGTTGGTAAATAAGAGAACTTGGGTGTTTTCTTGGGCTGTCAGATAAAAATGCCAATATATATATATATATATATATATATATATATATATATATGAAGAGTTCAGATGCAAAAGCCTCTAAATGCCATTTGAAATTTTCTTCTTTAATGATGATTTTTATCAAACTTGTATATTTAAGTTCAGTAATTTCACTTAAATGGCAATGATAATTACCTATTAATTGTTATCATTGCCATTTAAGTGAAATTACTGAACATAAATGTACAAGTTTGATAAAAATCATCATTAAAGAAGGAAATTTCAAATGGCATTTAGAGGCTTTTGCATCTGAACTCTTCATATATATATATATATATACATATATTATTCAATACAAATCATCGCACCCAACTTAAGGGAAGGTTTCTAGACAGATTAAGAAACCAACTGATACTAAAAAACTGTTTGTAGAAATGTTTTTATTTTCTGAAACTGTCGAGCTCAAAGAGTACCATAGTTGAAGAATCACCCCTATACGCATTTTGAGCTATTCACGTGTATGCGTGTATGTCTACGCCGTTAAATGTCCGAGTGATTCCGCGTGTACACGCCGTCAAATGTCCAAGCAAAATGAAGCAAAATGTAGATCTACATCTGGGGAGCGATATTGTTTTTCCAAGGATGGTAGGGGAAGACTCATAAATGGTATTAACCCCAGTGACGGGTAGGTTTAGGGACGGGGTTGGGGTAAGTCATATATTTATATATACAGTAATGTAACGTTAAGTCAACGGCGTTCTTAAACACACTGAAAAGCGATTATGCATGTTGACAGCACGCCAAAGATAGAAATACGAATTGACGTGCCATACATACGCCATTTCATGAGATCAGGCTGAACAAACAGTCATGTAGTCTGTGATTTGACAGTTTGTGTGTGTGTGTTGTCTGAGGGCAAACGTTGAATCGGGATTCAGAAGTTAGCTGTTTGTACAGTTGGCTGTGAGTTTTTTAAATAGTGCGTAGATTTGAGAAAATGGGATTTTTCAGACTTGCACTGTTTTGCACTCGTACCCTTCCACCACGCATCCTCACTCCTGTTCTTCTTCCCGGCTGTTGACCCTGCTTGTTTCCTTGTTGTTGACAGAATTGTTATCCTGTGTTGTGCTCTGTCTATATGCTTGCTAAATGAAGCGTCATGATGCACCTCTCAGCTATTTTAGACAACTGGTTGGTCATTGGATGATCAAGCCCTTTATATTTTCCTTCATTGTGAAATTCAAAATTCACCTCCGCAACACATTTACAAAAAAAAGTCTAATAGAAATGTATAGAAAATCTGCTTGACAGATGTTTTGAGGGGTAAGACTATTCAACACGGAACCATGCAATATATTTAGATCAACATGACATAATAAATTAATAATAATGGAAACAGCAGACATTTTTATAATCAATTGCATGAATGCACCAAAGCATTTGCAATTTGCTGAAAAGAATGATGAATTGTTTTTATGATGTGCACAAGTGACTAGATGATGTGGAGGTTGAAGAAGAAGTTTTTAGTTTTGATCTGAGAAATGCACCAAAGCGACTGAGAAAAAGTGTGAATCAGAATGTGTAAT